AGCTATGGATTTTACTCCTACATCTTCCATTTTCCTTCTCACTTTTCAGCACTTCATCAATACGAATGAAAAATTGTAGCTATCTATTCCTCTTATATCAATTTTAACCTAATTCTTACTTTCACTTCACTGAATCAGTCTTGTCCTTTTTCTTGATAATGGAGTCATTTAATTGTCTCTTCTTAAAGAACTCCCAATTTTCATTCATGCTTTTCCACCTAATTTTTTCCTCCCAATTGATTTTTCCTATAATTTTCAGCTAAAGTGCTCTTGGGGATGTTTATCAGTGCTCTGCAGTGCCTGGTCCTTCAGCTGTGTACAACGGTAGACCCCAGTGACTTTTGCAGTAACTGTACAGGTGTTTTCTGATCCCTACAAAGGAATGCCCTAGCAGAGAGGCTGTTGAGTTCCTCTGAAGGCATCTGCATGGAGATTTTTACTGAAAAATGAAGGGGAGCTTTTTTGTCTCCTGTTTAATTTTCCCATAGTGAAATATGAATGCTGAGGCTGGTATCTATGCTAAAGATGGTGCTGGGATGCTTCCAGAATGAATCACTGCACAGCAACCCCATGGACTGCATACATCTCTCTGAATTAACATTGCAAACCCTGGCTAGATCACTCCCTCCCAGAGAGAGGAACCCACAAGAAGACAAAAGCTAGACAGAAGATACCACTGCTTCCTACGCCACTGCGTGGGGGTGGTTGTTCCAAGCAAATGTTTTGAGATCCCTAGAGAGATTGTACAGATCAGTTACATTGTCCCAGATTTTCAGATCCCAGTTCCAAGATCACTGTCCTAACCCTCCCATATACCAGTATTTTAGGGATTTATGTAACCTCACTGCTGTAATGTCTCAACACCTCAACAGCCTTGCTGTGTTTATCCACCCAACACTCTGGAAGGGAGGGAAGTGCTGTTATCCCTGTTTTACAGATAGGGATCTGAGGCACAAAGATCTCCCCAGCAGACCATCCTCCTTTGGATGGGTGAAATCAGCATCTAACCCCAGCACAAAACTCCAAGCTCAAGGAGGTAGCATGGAGGCATACCTACATCATGCTGCCAGGGCAATAGGCCCCTGCTGTGTGCACATAAAGCCCAGAAAGGAGGTGGGAGAATGCATTGGATATGCCCAACACCCCATTCTTAAGCAGGCTTGAAACTCAGGTCTTGGTCTTGAGTGCAGTGCCAGGTATGCCCCTAAGGGTATCCTCAGCACTTCTCTTTGGAACTGACATGCCTGGAGTAAGAAAGGGTAGGCAAAGCTCTTTGCCTTGGTAGCTAGAATGAGTCCTCTGCTACTGCAGTGTAGGCACAGCTGGAGAGGATTGGACTGGATCTGGGGAGGGAAGGGGATCCGCAGATCTCTTAGGCCAGACAGAACCATTATGCTTCCTTAATGTGGCCTTCTGGATATACAGCCCAGTGCAGTGTCCAGCCAGGCATCAAATGCAGTAGGTTGATGCCCCTGCCTCCACTTCGAAAACCCAGAGGTTCCTGGCTAGAGGGTCATGATCTTCCATGCAGGGTTGTACCAATTGTCTCATGGGGTCAGGAAGGAATTTTTCCTGCAGCTGGGTTTAGTATGGACTGTGTGGGGTTTGATTTCTCTGTAGTCTGGGGCACAATTTCTGATTTTGTATCTTGCAGTTTTATGTGAGGGTTTGAAGTTGTGATTGTGAGAATTACTTAAGCAACGATTGTCTGTGACTGCAGGGGACAAGCTCAGTGACCTAGGAGGCCCCTTTCGGTCCTGCATTCTTTTGCTTGTTTAAGAAAAATCCAGTCTTGATTGAAGGACTCCAAATTCTGGAGAATTGACCACAGTCCTGAGGTAGCACAGCCAACTGCTGGAGATATTTATTGAAAAATTTAGGAGTGCCTTTTTTGTCTCCCATGCAATTCGTCCATCATGAAATGTGAGTGCTAAGGCTGGGACTTGTGTTAGAGGGAGAGTCTGGTTACTGGTCTGAGCTCAACCATCCTCTCTTGCTTCCCCCTCCCTTGGCCAGAACTTGGGCTGAAGAGGCAGCTTTCCCTCCCTTTTCTGCAGCCCCTGCATCAAAGAGCAAAGGGGACACGACATGGCCCCTGTTATTGTTCTACTCCATCTCATGACTAATGTTACATATTCATAGCACGCGTCAGTATGTATTTTAGTCAGAGAGCACTCAGAATGAAATTGCACCCTTTAAAGTGGGAGATAATGTATTTCCAAGTTAGCATTTGTTATAATAATCATCTCCTTGGTAGAGATGTGCCATCTAATAGCTGCTGTGCCCCATGCATTTTGATCTTAATCACAAAATCAATTTAAGAGGAAAGTTACAACAAATGCTACAATATTTTCTCCGTCATGGTGCCATAGCTTCTCTTGATAGGATGTTTTGGTGCCCGGCAGACCCGCTAAGCTGGTGTTTGGGTTTGATTCCAGCACTGAATAGCTGATTTCACATGGCCTTAATTACTTCAGCCTTGAGCATTTCATGTTGATGCTTACTTAAGTCAAGAAAATCCTGGTTCTTGGGGCCCGACTCCCCTTGCACTCACCCTGGTATAAATCAAGAGGAACTCCAGGATCTTTTCTCCCATGAAATGGGGATCCCTATTTCAAGGGGACGCAGTGTTGGTGGAGTTTGAGATCCTAGCTGAGGCTGAAGTACACCCTACACTGGGGACTGCCTGGGTGGAGCTGAGGGGCCCCAGCATTCAAGATGCAGGTCCCTTTCCATCAGGGGCCTTTGTTCCTGGGATACATTATGATGCTCCATGGTGGAATTTCATTGCAAGGCAACAAACGTAAGAAGCTGCAGCAGGCACCCACATAGTATAAAAAAATAGCTGGTGTAGGCCCTGAAAGGCCTTCTGAGATGACGCCTCAGCTTGAGGGAAAAGGGTAAATGAAACAGGGTGATTAGTAAAAGAGTAAAAGACCTCCTCAAAGGCCAGGTGGTGTCTGAGGGAGGTTGGCCATAGATTCTTTTACACCCCAAGCCAAACAGAGTAGAAAGAACTAGAGAGGTCACAGAAACCATATGTGATGGCCAGAACACCTAGAATCACTCCTCATGGCCTGGTAAAGTCCTGCTGCCTGCAGGCATGAGGCAGGAGAGGAAGGGAGACACCCCAGCTTTGGGGTCAGTCTGCTGTTCTCCTTTCCTGACAGTAGCATCCCAGGGATGGAAGTTCCTCTCCATTTTCCCTAGTATATGACAGCAGCAACACAGGCAACATGAACAGCCTTCTGGAGTAGGAATGGAGGGAGGAAGGGATTAATAGCTCCAGTAGCCATTCAAAAAGGAATCAACTGAAAAAATCCTGCCATTTGCCACTTGACTGAGCACACAGGCCTCAGGCTCTGAGGCATAGATCAGAAGCAGCAAGATGCACATGCTTTCAGCCAGCCCACAACCCAGTTTGTTTCATGTCACTGAGGCTAGTAAGGCAGCTTTGAACATTATTTGTGTTATCAGAGTCCGGTCCCTCAGTCATCCCAAAGGGCCTGATCCTGGGATCCAAAGGAGAGGTCCAAAGAGGTTTGACTGCATTGGGACCTCAGGATCTGGCCCCTGCATAACACAGATCCATGGCCTTATTCATTGTGTTTCTCCTCAGTGTACAGGGGTGGATCTATAGGGATGGATGGAGTGTTCAGAGACACACAGCACCACCTGCTTCAGGCCAGGAGCCAGCCTCTTGCTCTCAGGGGTCTGGAGGAAATGTTTTTGGGAACAGATCCTCCTGCTGGAAGGGTTTCTGGTACCTCTTATCTGAAGTAGTTAGTGCTGGCCAGTGTCAGCAACAGGCTGCCTGAGTAGCTGGAGTGTGGGTCTGATACCAGGGAAGTGCTGGGCCCCTGTGGTGTAATGCAGGGGCAGGATAGGCCCCCAGTGGTGGAAGGAAGCTTTTGCTTGAGGAAGTGGAGAAGTCTGGGCCGGGCTGTGCTGAGAATGCTGCCAAGGGGGTGTTGTGTGCCGTGTGCTGCGTGGCGCACGAGGGTGGTACATAATGTGAAGCCTGATAGGCTGAACATTCCATCAAGTACATTTCTTTAATTAAAAGAATGCCAGCTGCCTGGCCTGTTTGCCTTAATTGGATTGAGTGTTTGGCTGGGACTCTGGCTTGTCTTCTCAGGAGGCAGCAACCTGCGTGCTACCCAGCCTGGGGGCAGGGCATCAGCTGCACAGTCTAGACAGCTGCAGGGAATGCTGTGTGGGCTTTCCACTGCTAGGACCCAGACTTGCAGCATCTACCAGGGGCTGCTAAGGGCTGCCCTGGAGGTTTAGAGGCTGCAGCATGTACATCAGGCATGGTGTGGCACTATATAATATTGGCCAAGCTCAGGGAAGTGAGGTGACTTGGGCGAGTGGAGGGGCAATGTAATGTCTTCAGTTGTTGGTGGGCTGTACCTGGGAGGACATGCAATGACTGTTCTTGTGTCTGGAGCTGTGCTGAGGTGAAAGAGGATGCTAGTTCCCTCTCCCTATTCTCTTCCAGTTTGACTCTGGCAAACTTCTACTGGCTCCAGGATTGGCCCACAAGATGGGCTTCAAAGAATGCTGTGATATATGAAACCTTAGTGTAATTTCTGCAGCTCCGGCCCATTTCTCTGCAATTACCAGCATTGTTCAGAAGGGCCCCATGAGCTACCAGTAGTAAGATGGAGCCATGCCCCTTTCAAAAACAACCTGAACTCCCATATTCCCCTGCCTGAAGCTTGAGGTAATGCACCCCTTGCTCTTCTGTTGTGGGGACCTCAGACCATGCAGCCTTTCACATGAAAATGTGGCATTTCCTTCTGTTTGTTCACCTTGCATGCCGCATGCAGCCCTCAGAGTATCACATTGGTATAAAAACTGCAGAGAAGGAGCTGCTGTGCTGAGGTGGGCTGGTGGCAGGCAGTGGAGGGAGGGTTGCTGGGAAAGATCAGGATTGGAGCATTGAAGTGCCCCTGTTTTCTTCTGCTTCTTAACTCTTCTACCCCTTTTACTTGCAGACCTGTTGCCATCATCCCCTCTAGGCTCAGCAGTGGAAGAGTGGAGCAGATGAGATGGAACCCATGGAGCTGTTGGTCTCTATGGAGGAGCTTCAGGATCAAAGTTGGAGGTGACAGGTAAGGACATCAGAGTTGGATCCCATCCCCCTGGGGCTAGATTCCCATAGACTTGCTTATGTCTGCTCAGCTGGAAGGGCAAAAAGTAGGACTTGTGAAAGTGGTGTAGCCAAGAACCAGAAGAGATACCTTCATGTAGCATATGGGCCACTTCAACGTCATGCTGCTTTGGGATTTCTTCTTCCACTTACCCCACTGTATATCAGGAGACTCTGAACCCTCAGTGGCATTACATCAGGGTGAAACTGCAGCAAAGGAGAATTGGCCATTGATAGGTTAGCTAGAGTAGCTGGGTCTCATTGCACAGTTGACAGAATAGGTGCAAGTAGGTCTCAGGGAGTTAAGTTATGGCCTGATTCTGCTCTCACTACCACTCTACACTCATGCAGCTCTCAAGGGAGTTACTTCTGATTTACATCATTGCATATAAGAGAAGAATCAGGCCCTTTCTAAGGGATTGGACATCATTTCCTGACCCATGCACCCCCTTAGAATGTGGCCCTTGAATACACATTGGACTATATATATGATGATTTGAATTTATCAGCTGAAAACATGAAGTTGACTAAAGTATCGTAAGCCCAGAGTGATTCTGCAGAGACCCAGAGCCTAGGCAGGGCTCACTGCTATGTGGATAATGGGCCTACTTTCAAAAGGTATTTAGGTACCTAAAGGTGTGATAGACTCTAGTGGGGGTTTTCAGAAGTGCCTTATTAGTTTGGGCAGTGAAGTCCCAGTGAAATCCAGGGGGAGCTAGGCACCAGGCTGTAGTTTCCTCTGGATGCTGCATTTAAGTGCCTAGATACCTTGACAGATTTGGCTCCCAAGCCAGTTTATCTAGAATGGCCAGTTTTCTAGACCTCTGGAGTCCTGCGTTGGAGCCACCAACCTTCAGGGGAACAGTAATTTCTACCAACTGAACAATTTCTACCAGGGCAAATCATGACTACAGCTGATTCTGTGCTCACATAGGCTGCCCCAAAGTGAGTTATACCCATGTGAACCTGATGTGAAAGAAGAATCAAATCCAGCATGTTGTCCATCTTCTGATGTCACTTGTCACCATAATATCTGAGTATCTTTTGGAGTTAAGAACTGCTGCCCTAAGTTACAACTGTCTACCACAGTGATTCTCAACTAGGGTGCCACAATATCCTTTTAGGGGTGCCATGGGATGTTGCTCAACATAAACACTGTTAAGTGTGTGAACACCTACATATAATTCCCAAATAAACCTAGAGATTTAAAGTAGGAGTCTATAGTGTCAAAACCATGCTTACCTGCTGTGGGCTTTCTGAGTTATTTGCAACAGAAGAATTGCTCTCTTATTTTTCCTCAGACAAGAAATGAGTGAAAGCTAAGAGCTGGCATTTTCTGAGGAGTGCCCTGGGTCTAACAAGGAGTGTCATGAGTCAAAAAAGGTTAAGAAACCCTGGCTTAATAGTTTTGTTTTTAAGATTGCTTTATTTAAAAAAATACCCCCATCTTTCACTTTGAATTTCCTAGCGTTGGTCAAACCTGGTTAAAATTCAAACATGCTACATAGATGGGGGATATTTTTTTAAAAATTCCCTTTCTTCCCATATTTTATTTGTTTGAATTTGAGTTTCTCAAGGACTTGATGACTTTCTCCCATGAACCTGTTGGAAGACACTTACCTTGGTCACTGCATTTCAACAATCAGCCCCCACCCACAACTAATGTCAGGCCATTGTCTGGAACATTGTGATGATAATGTATCTGGCCAATGCAGATTTTAAAAGCTGTGACAAATCTAACAGTGTAGAATATGGTTTTGAAGGTTAGTAACCAGGCTGTTCAAAGAAATAAAAGGCCAAAGGATCCAATTTGCAGATGATCTAACAATTTGCTCTTCATCTCAAAGACCCAGAACAGCAACTCGGGGCTAAGTTGGTTGCAAGGGAGTTTGTTGCTGATACCATTTCTGTACAGCACACAGCTGGACAAAAAGCACAGGAATCACTTAGGACTGGAATTAACAGCACTGAAGGCAGGGCTGTTTGTGGGGACCTCAGGAGAAGGGACAGTAGGGGTACTGCAGGTCAGAATTTAGAGTAATATGTGCGAGTCATGAGTAGGAGCATTGGCAGAGGCAGATGTCATTCAGAATGGCCACATTTTACAGTATACTGGCTTTGCTTGGTTGGGAATGGCTGCCCAAAGCAGATCCATGAAGAATTGGGCTCTGTGGATCTGCTCCTAGGTTTGTTGTTTTCTTTAATTTGATATCAGACCAGTCTGGTCGGTGGGACACAGGCTTTGTGTTTGGGTAAACAGCATTTTCCATGCTGCAAGTCATATTCCTCAGTCAGTGTAGAAGTCAGTGAAGTGATACCGATTTACACCTGCTGAAGATCTGACGGGCTGTATCATGCAGTAAGCCTTTTACTCCATCCTACAGTAGGAGCTTTGCAATTGACTTCAAAAGGTGCTGGAGCAATCCTGGATCAAGGAAGTCAGCTTCACTTGTCTACGTTTTACAGTCCCCAGTGAAGCAGTGTTTAGGTGGGAGCATGAATTGATCATCAGCATCATCCTTGTCACTGTTGTCATTACAACTGCCTGTGCACAGTGCCTAGCACAGTGGGCTCCTGGTCCAAGCAATAGCACCACATAGATCATGTATTATAAGCACAGGGTTAGTAATGGCACATTTAAAAAAACATGTGGAAATATGTTCTGTTGATTTTTGGTTGTATAAACACATTTGTTTTTACCAAACCTGTATTTGCTGGCCACGAGTGTGGAGCAAGCAAGTGAAGCATCAGCAAGTGAAGACAAAACCAGTCTTCTGCCCATATCACTGTCAGTTCCATCCCTCCAGCTGCTATCCTCTTCTGTTTCCTTTTTGATCAGAGTCCTGACCTTGTTTCCCTGCTATTCTTAGCCTGTAAGAATCCTGCCTCAAAGTGTGACTTGTCTTTTATTTAGCGACTCGTACTTAGCACTGTCAGCCTCTTCCCCACACCAGTGTTACTCAGGCCATGCTTGGCATGGCTGAGCTCCCAGCCAGCTTGCCCAAAGGGCTCCTCTCGCATCAGCCTGCACTTTTTGTGAAGTCCTCATGTTTGTAGCCAATCGCATACAGCTTCTGTAGGCCAACTCCTTCCTTCAGTAACTTCAGTGTAAATCTGATATCATACCACAGCCTTCAGGAGGCTTCAGCCCTGTCTTCTTCTAAACTCATGTCTATTCTGATGCCTATTTGCACCCCAAAGGCCTTGAGTACACTGATGTTTCTGTTTAAAGCCCTTCTGTGGCTCCATCGCCCACTGGTGCCTCTCCATAGGCAACAGAAACAGTAGGAGTGCCACAGCTTTCAGGGCTTAGAGCTCCCATCTCATCTAGACCTCTGGTAGGCGGTTTGGGCACTTCCTGGCTCTGCTAGTGCACTATGGCCCTGGCCTGGGTTGGTCCTGGGGAGAGCAGGAGTGACCTCACTTCCTCTCCACTATTGTGGGGGTCCTGAGCTTGCTGCTTCATGGCTTCTGCTGTGCTCTCAGTTTGGATCCTGCAGTCCCAGATGAAGTAGGTTCTCAAACTGAGGTGAGCCTTGTACTGCACCCACCATAACCCAGCCTAGCCCAGCCCTTCAGAATGCCCTTTCTCATTCTCAGGGAATTTAAGGCTTGTTTCCATCAGTCATGATACTTTTATTCAAGGCAGCTATTGCTGAAGCCTACACAGCAAGAGTCAGAGTGCCCCCTTCAGCATAGCTCTTCCAACGGATCTTTGGACCTGGAGGGTCAAGAGGCTTCCCCTTTGGAATGCCCTTTTCTGATCTAACCCAAAATTTGTGCTCACTGCTTCACTCATCATTTTGCCTACTCTTACTACTTAGATGGGCACATTCACAGGACAACTAATAGGAATAGGTCAACCTGCAGTACACATGCCACAAATGGCATAGGCAGCCTTTCTGTGTGGCAGAAGGGACAGGCAGCACAGAGGCAGGTAGGGCAGGAAGCAGAAAGCAGAGCTGCAGATCAGACAGGAAATATAGGGCAGGAAGCAGAAAGCAGAGCAGCAGACCAGGCAGAAAGCAGAGCAGCCAATTGGGCAGGGGAAGGGGATCGGAGTGGCACTGGGAGAGGATGTGGGGTTAATTTGCGTCATTCCTGCCATGAAGGTTGGCCCCCACTGGGCTAGAAGGGGTGTGAGTGTGCTCTCTACTGGGTGAGATCAGAACTGCTCTCCTGTGTCTCCTGAGGCCTTCACTGCAAACAGTTCAGATACTTCTTCAAGGGCTCTTGGAGCAGGAGGATCTGGGTTCTGTCCTGAGCAATCTCAATTCCAAGCTGCTGCCATTTTCATTGTAGCAGCAGCCTCAGGAGCTGCAGATTTGTTCTCTGTCTTAATACCCCACGTTTATTGTACTCCTCTTTCCTCACCATGGATTCTCAGTGCCGGTTCAGGGAAAGTGGACTTTAGCTTCCCAGGCTGGTGCAGCTGGACTACAAGCCATGAGCACAGCTCACCATCAGAACAGTTATTTTTACCTTGTCTAGCAAAAAAAAAAAAGAAAGAAAGAAATTAAATAAAATAACCCACCAAAACAAACAGCTCCCAAACTCTACCCCCAAATGAGCAGCTCATCCAGCAGAGAAAGGAGCTGCTTATTGATATGAAGCAGGGCTAAAAATAACCTAAAACTCTTCATCCAGAGCTGTGAAAAATATCCTATTGCTAGGAGACCATGGTTACTGGGAGACAGACATTGCTAGGCGACACTGGTTGCCTTGGCGACAGCTGGGAGCCTAAGTCATCTGCAGTGCAGTCTATCTTTGGCACGGTGTGGTCAATAGTGATTGGGCTCCAGTGGACAGATCACTTCCATGCTCTGCTGTTTTTTGTGTCTGGTTGGGGAGGAGGAAGACAGGGACTGTTTTTTTTAAATAAATGCAAAGGAATGAATCAAACAAGCAGGCACTGAGGAGAGAGATGCAGTTGCATTTGCTTTCAAGTGCTCTGAGGTTGCA